ACTTCCAACTCCAAAAATAACTGCATCTGATTTAGGTGCATATATTTGTCAGACAGGATGCAGCTAATGGTCTTGGCTAAATCAGTTCATGAGATGCTGAATACTTCTGCATAAAATTATTGAACGAAGTAAAAAGTCTCTAAGAAATGGGGAGAATCTGTTGTCAGTTTTTTTCCACTACAAGATTCAAAAGCAGAAATATAAATAATAAAGGTCCATATGTATTTATCTTTTCATTAAAAACAAACAAACAAACAAACAAAAAAACCCCAAAACCCACTGCTGTCAAGTTGATTCTGACTCATAGTGACCCTATAGGACAGAGCAGAACTGGCCCACAGGGTTTCCAAGGCTGTAAATCTTTATGGAAGCAGACCGCCACATCCTTCTCCCACAGAGCCGCTGGGAGTTTCAAACCCCCCACATTTCGGTTAGCAGCAGAGTACTTTAATCACTGCCTCCCAGGGCTCATCTCTTCATCACTACCCCCAAAATAATCCTTTCCATAATGCCACAGTTTCCATAAATATCACCCAATGAACTGGCTGTGAGCTTAGAATTGCCCATGACTTTAGCCTTGAACTTAGACATGTGAAAAACATGTCAAGCCTAAGGGGCCCCCATCCCTGTGTCCCACAGCACTAAGATAAATACTTGGGTCATAACATACTAGTCCTCCTACCTGTCTCCTCCATCCTGGTTTCAGAAACTCTAAGTCAACATACCCACCCAAATGACTAACATGAAAAAGACAGCCAATACCAAGAAGAGATAAGACTGGAGCGTCCAGAACCTTCATACACCGTTAGTGGGAGTGCCAATTAGTGTAATCACTTTGGAAAACTGTTGAGCATTATGTTCTCAAGTTGAATATATAACCCACTGCCGTCTTTATGCGCACTAATTGTTTCCCTAATTGTTTCACGGGAGTGACTTCTTGTTTCTCCAAGCCTCTGATGCTCTGCTTCTGTAAAGGCCTGGCACCTTGCACACATCCACTGGCCCATATTTATGGAGTTCTAGGCACTGAGGACCCAGCAGCTGCTGACAGGCAAAATCCCTGCTCTCATGAGCCCCACCTTCTAGTGTTGGGGGCAGGGAAGCACAGTTAGGCCAGAGAGCATGTGTCAGATGTGACGAGTTCTATGAAGAAATATAAAGCCAGGTAAGGTCTGCAGCAGAAAAGGCCCGGCGATCTGCTCCCGAAAAGATTACAGACTAGGAAACCCTATGGGGCAATTCTACTCTGTCCTATAGTGTTGCTATGAGTCAGAATCAACTCAAGGGCACACAACAACAGCAAGGTGACGGGAAGGAAGGAAGTGAGGAGGTAGGAAACTGCTTGGCAAGGAAGCCAGTGGGGCTGAAGCCACATGATGGAGGGAGAGACTGTGAGAGGAGAGATGGGGGTGGGGCAGTCAGAGCCTGCAGAGTCCTCAAGACCACAGTAACCACTGAGGTTTTACTCTGAGATGGAAAACTAATGAAGGGCTCTGAACAGAGGAAAGGCATGACTTGAATGTAGATTAAATGAGAGGATCACTCTGTATGCTGTTTAGATAATTATCCACAGGAGGTGGAACAAGGGGAAGCAAGGTCACTAGACAGGGAGCTACTACAATGGTCTGTGTGTGAGATAAGGTCACTGATGCTTTAACTAGGGTGATACAGCAAGGGAGCCAGTGAGAAGTGGTCCCATCCTGGATCTATTTTAGTGGTACAGCTGCCAAGATTTGGAGATGGATGGGTGGCGGTTAAGGAGCCCTAGTGGTGCAGTGGTTAAGTGTTTGGCTGCGAACCGAAAGGTGGGCAGTTTGAACCCACTAGCTAGTCTGTGGGCAAAAGATGTAGTCTGCTTCTGTAAAGATTACAGCCTTGGAAACCCTATGGTGCAGTTCTACTCTGTCCTATAGGGTCACTATGAGTTGGACTTGACAGCAAAGGGTTTTTCTTTCTTTTTTTGGTGGGGGGTGGGGGTTGTGAGAAAAAGAGAGGCATCAGGGATGAGTTTGAGGCCCAAGCAGATGGAAGCTTGGTTACTGGGATGGGGAAGCTTGGTTACTGGGATGGGGAAGCTTGTGATGTGAAATCAAGAGTCCAGTCTTGGTCTTTATAAGTTCAAGGTGCCAAAGGTTAGGCTGAGTGGGCAGCTGGATACATGCCTTGGATTCAAAGAGAGGACTGCCTAAGGATCTTAGTTGGGAATCATCAACATACAGATGGGATCAAGACCAAGAGAATGCATGCGATTTTCTAGGAAATTAGCTATCTCTTTATTTAAGAAATGTATATCACGTTTACCACATGCCAGTACTATTCTAAGTGCTTCATAGCTATTAACTCACTTACTCTTTCTAAAAACCCTATGAGGTAAAGGCCTATTATACCTTTTTACTGATGTGGAAACTGAGGCACACAGCTATTTCAGTGTCATGCCCAAAGTTAGTGGAAACGAAACGAGCAGAGGTGTGAAGAGAAGAGGTTCAAGGTCTGAGCTCTGGGCTACTCCAGTGTCAAGAGGTCAAGGAGACGAGAAGGCAGCAGGCAAAGAGATGAGAAGCAGCAGCAGGTAAGAGGAAACCAGAAGGGAGGGAGTGATGGGCTATGTCAGATGGTGATAACAGGACAGGTAGGCTGAGAAGTGAGAACCACCACTGGATGGGGAAAAAGTCACACCTTTACTTTCACTAACCTCGTTTTCAAAATAACTTCCTTCCATTCTGAATGCAGACAACAAACCACAGTAGTATTCGCAGCACCCATGATGCTGTCACCAACAGAAACTATGGATGTTTTCATTCCCAGGGCAGTTTTTGCTTCTGCTCATCTGGGCTTTGAGATTACAGTATTTCCCAGACCCACGGCTAGACCCACTGCTATTTAATGTGTTAGTAAACCAGTACGTATGCTATGAAACCACACATTTTTATTATGTTGATCATTGTATTTCAGTATAATTATTCTGAGAAGGGCACAAGAGGTTGAAGATCTCAAACTCATCTCAGTTTTGACCACGATGAGTAGCCAAATGCCAACCCTAGGGCCTCAGTTTGGCACTTAATCTAGCTTTCAACAAACTAAGGAGCCACGGGCATCTCATGGGGATTGCGACGTCACAGCACATGCTCACGGGAGGATGAGCCTCTGTGCAGCCACCAGGTCCCAGGGACTGTTGCTGCTTCTCTCTACAAGGACTTCACTTACGGAAACTCCACACTGCCACCTCCCCCTTCGTTCCTCTCCTTCCCTTTCTGGACTGCTATGTGCCAGGCCCAGCTGCTGTCTCCCTTGTGGTCACAGCTGGGCTCTGCCTTAATTTTTGAAACAATGCAAAGTCCTCTTTCTCCTACCCTTCTGTTACCTAGCCCTCCTGACACCTCCACTGGGCAAAGTGGAGAAATTAAACCAAAGTCACAGCTCCAAGGTTATAGAAATTCAGCAAGAGTCTCTAGCACAGAAGCTAAAGCCTCATTAGTCTTATTACAACTCATCTTGCTTTTTCTCTTTCTTTCCCACAAATGAAAGCAAATAACATGCCTCTGAAAATTTATAAATTCAGGGTTAACCAAATTAGCATTCAAGAACAAGTGACATTAACCTGGGGAAAAAAAAGTTACTGTGGAACGCTTAAATTTAAATTTCAAGGAAAAAAAAAAAAGCTTAAAAGAGATGCTAAAGATTAAATGAAAGCCCAGCTCTCCTAATCTAATACCCACTGAAGTCAGAGAACAAGATCTTGACAGGGCCCTAACATGTAATATCACTCCTTTCCCCCAACCCTGCCACACTCACTGTGCCTTCTATGTGGGGGATGGATGACTGATATGCAGGTCTGTCACCTGTGGAGCTCTGGGTCTACCTCGAGTAGCTAATGTGTTTCCTGCACATGGAAGAAATCAGTGCCCTCCAAACCCTCTTCCTTTACACTACTGTCATTGGCCTTGACTCAGTTTAATGTTTGCTCAACAATGCCAAGGGTGAAGAGAAACACCCTGGCTACAGATTCCGTGGTCTGGAACTCCTCTGAACGTGAGGCTGGGAATCTCTAATAAAAAAAACTATTGTGCATTTGCTAGTTTATGAAAAAATATTAATTGAAGCCCTTCACAGTGTATAGTTCCACCAGAGGACAGGGTGTCAAAACACCACCTTCCAACTGCAAAGCTACACCCTGGAACTGCCTGTCTCCTCTTGGTCTCCTTCAGGGAACTAGTCAGGCTGGTTTGAAACTTGCCTGGACAACCAGAACTATCTGGCTCACATTGGCAGGGCCTCTCCTGCCTGCCATGTGACTTACAAGCAAAACCCACCCATAAATCTCATCCTTACAATGCACCCGGCAGAAATCTCATCCTTACACTGCACCAGGCAGCCTCCCCATGCCCACCGTGACCTCTGCATCTCTACTCTCCAGAACTGGGCAGTCCAACAAAGAAGCCAGTTCTTTACTACCCATGTACATAATCTGCAACGTGTGCAAAACTATTCTGCTTCATTAGCACAGCGTATTGTTGCCCCTTTCTTAGTCATTTACAAGCACATCCAATTTCCAATAGCTGCAAATGGTGATAGTTACTGCTGGAATGTTTTTCTGACCTGAGAACGCAAAATGAGTCCATCCTCTTTAGAGGTCCCCTTTAAACCTTCTGGAGACTGACACCAGCTACTCTGAATTCTATTTTGCACACGGAGGATCACGCTGCTTTACTTTTTCCATCGTTGTGATACGGTTTTATATGGCATATAGAATTTTAGGTTTCCGGGTTCTGGCGCCAGGAGGAATTGAAAGGGTGTAAAGTTCAAGTGCCTTCAAAGTAATTCAAATAACAACCAGTAGACGGGCTCCAAGGCCACTCCCACCTCCTACAGAGAACTCAACAGCAATCAACACAATCCTGGTTCCCAAACTTCTGAGAGCGACGGAAATGTCAGCTCGAGTAGCTAACGGGGTTCCCTCAGCCCCCTCTCTCGCGCCCGTCGCCTCGTTGGTCTTTGGTCACCTGTAGGCTTCAGCGGGTTCCAGTCCATTTTCCAGGCTGACATCTGTCTGCACCATCTCCCGTTTCAGTTCTCCGATCTCAGAGGCAATTGTGTCAATGAGCTATTCAAAGACAAAAATAGTATGACGTCAGGAAGTGGAAGAGGCGTGGACACAGCCTGGGGAAGCTTTAGTCACGTCGATAGAGATGCCCACCTTTTTTTTTCCTTTTAATCCTGGCTCTGTGAATTTCCCCTAATGAAGGAAAAAAATAAAGGGGAGGGGCAGCTTCTCCTTAGAAAGAGGAAGAACTTAAGTTTCGGTATTGTCCTAAGAAGAAGAAACCACAGTTTGGTTTTTCACCATGAATACTAAGAGGAATAAACAAATCCTGGTCAAACCAGGTCTCAACATTCATTTTGTCAAAGGAAGAGCTTACAAGGAACTCCTTGGATTAAAATGTGTATAACCACTTTTCTGGTTAAAAAATAAACATACTTAAAAGATACAGCTTATAAGTTGATTTCTAAAGACATTAAAATCACTTCTCACCCTATTCTTTGCTTTTTTTTTTTTTTTTGAAGTGAGAAGACTGTTAGAGGAAAGGGAAGAGAGGGGGAGAAGTGGGGCTGGGAGTGGGTGGGGCATCCGGGAGGAAAGGGAATCTCTTTTTGCCCCCAGGGAGTCCCTTGGTGGTGCAGTTAAGGGGCTGGGCTGCTAACCAAAGTGTTGGAGGTTCAAGTCCACACAGAGGCACCTTGGAAGAAAGGCCTGAAGATCTACTTCTGAAAAACTAGCCATTAAAAACTCTATGGAAAACAGTTCTACTCTGACACCCGAGGTCTCCATGAGTCGGAATCAACCTGACAGCAACTAACAACAACAACAACCGTGGTAGAATTAACAGAACATTGGAGTCCTTGGGTGGTGCAAATGGTTAACACATTTGGCCGCTAACTGAAAGGCTGGAGCTCTGAGTCCACCCAGAGGCACTTCAGAAGAAAGGTCTGGTGATCTATTTCCGAAAAGTCAGTCATTGAAAACCTTATGGTGCACACTTCTACTCTGACACACATGGGGTCGCCATGAGTTGGAGCTGACTTGATAGCAACTGGTCTGGTCTTTCTCCAAGCTGCCTGTCACCCAGAGCCCAGGACGAGGCTACATCCGGCCCTGGGGTTGTTGTTAGGTGCTGTTGAATCAGTTCTGACTCATAGTGACCTTCTGTACAACAGAATGAAACACTGCCTGGTCCTGCACCAACATCACAATCATTGCTATGTTTGGGCTCATTGTTCTTTTAGCAGTTCTTATTCATTGTCCAGCTTTCGCATGCATATGAGGCAACTGAAAATACCATGGCTTCGGTCAGGCACACCTTCGTTCTCAAGTGACATGTTTGATTTTTAACACTTTAAAGAGGTCTTCAAGGAAGACTCATTAACAACCTGCCTTATGGTGAAAGCATACAACCCTGACACACACCTTTCCTGAAAACAGAATAGGGTGGTGTTATAGGGAATAACTAAGGGGCCACTCTAGGATGGGGTGAGCTGGTCAGGAAAGGTTTCCGAGGAAGTGACTGAGCCCTGAATAGAAGATCTCAGCCATGACAAGATGAAGGTAAGAGCCCTCCACACAGAGGGAGGAGCGTGTACACAGTTGCAGACGCTGGGCAGGCATGTGAGTGAGAGGCAAGCAGGGACTAGATCTTGCAGATAACAGTCTTCGTGAATTTGAATCCTCTACCATAAGAACCACGTGAGGGCTTTAAGCAGGGGAATGACATTTTATTTCTGTTTCATGTTCTAAAAAGCTCACCTTGGCTGCTGCGTCAAGATGGTTTGTAAGTGCAAAGGTAGAAGTAGAGACCAGCTAGGAGGCTACTGCAGTGGTCTAAGTAAGAGATAATAGTGGCTTGGACCAAGGTGGTAGCAGTATAAACAGAAAGAAAGGGACAAGGCTAGGAACAATTTTTGACAGAGAAATTGATAGCGGTTGATGGATTGAATGTGGGGGTGCTGGGAAGAGAAGAATCAAGGATGACTCCCAAGATTTTGGCCTAAGCAACTGGACAGATGGCAAGCCCTTGACTGAGATGGGGAGGAATAGAAAAAGATTAGGCTTCAGGGGGAAAATGAGTTGGATTTGGACAGGTTAAGTTTGAGCTGAGTTGTTCATTGGCCATCACAGTAAATTTGTTGAGTAGCTTTTGGCATTCAGGATGGAGATCTGCAAACATTTGGAAGTCACTGGCATATGTCGTTAGCATTCTAAAGTCCTATGATGGGGGAGATTATCTAAGGACAAGAGGTCCTAGCACACGGCCCTGGGCACTCCCAGTACTTAGAGGTCAGAAGAAAGGAAGCCAGCCAAGCCCTCCATGCTTGACGCATCCCTTCTTGGTGTGTAACTGATGTGGAGGGCTGTAGGTGGAGCATCCAGAATCACTGGGACCTAGGGAGAGAAAATGATCTGGAGATCACATTTTACACACATCCCAGTGACAAAAGTCAAAAAGTCTGATAATGCCAAATATTCAAGGATGCGGGAAAACAAGAACTCCTTAGGCTGCTGGAGGAATATTATTCACAAAGTCACTCTGGCTGGCAGTATTTTGTAGAGTTGAAGAGACTCAAACCCAATAAATTGTCTTCCTACATATGTGTTCTAGAGAAACTTGCAGAAGTGCTAGGAGGTATTTACAAGAATATTTGTGGCACCATTGTTATAGGTAGGAGCACCATATTATCAACAACCTAAATGTCCATCGAAGGAGAATGGATAAACTGAGGTACTGAATACTACAGTTACAATTACTGAATCACAGATATATGTATCAATACACATATAAATATAAAAGCTCAAAAACCTAACGTTTAGCCCAAAAAAGCATGTTGCGAGAAGTTACATTTAGCATATGAAGTTAAAAACCACATAAAACTGTACTACATATTGTTTATGGAGACACATATAGACATAAAAACTACCCCAATATGTGTGGGAATGATAATTCTAACTCAGGATAATGGCTACCTCTGGACAGGAGAAACAGATGGAGGTGTTCACACGTGAGGGGCTCAAACACCTGTGATTTTTTCCTTAAAACAAAATGGCAAAAATAATAAGCTTCGACAAGCTGAGGGATGGATGTTTTAGTATTATGTGTACATTTTTATATGCTTGAAACATTTCATCATCAAGATTATTAGGAAAATTTTTAAAAAAGGGTGGATGTGTATGAAAATGGAAGGAGATGGAGGAACTAAAAAGGGAAGAGTGGCTAGGGTGACTCCGGCGAATCCAGGTGCCTATGCTGATACCCTCCAATCCTGGGGCTGGGTCCCCACCCTCCCACTTGGAATGCCACAGTGCGCAGGAAGCAGAGAGCCCTGACCAGTGGAGGGTCAGCCACAGCCTAGACAAGCCCAAGGAGAGAGGATTCCTACGTCTACAGGAAGAGCAGTCAAGCTGCACATTAACCCTCTCACCCCTCCCTCACCTTCATGGCCACCATATTGATTTGAACATAAAAGTCCCAACAGGCCGTCACCAGAGAGGCCGTGCATGCCCTCCAGCTAGCCTGCTTCCTCGAGATCTGCACGGCTGATGCCGTGACCTACAGCGGAGGCTGCAGGGACAGAGCCGAACTTCCAGACCCCTGCCGTCCCACGCTTGTTTCCTTCGCCAAACACAGAGAACCCACGCAGAATGCTCCTTAACCGTGGTGCAGATGGGTGGCACAGTGACCACAAGGCAGTGGGGTCACTAGTGCTGGTATCGCCAGTGTTGTCACTCATGGCGTCACCCCCCCATGCTAATTACCACAGTATGGTGGCTAAAACTCCAGAAAATATGACGAATCAGAGACTAGAAAAACACCGGCAGCAAAGAAAACAACAGCGCGTGCTTGTAGGCAGGCTAAGGAAACCAGGTGATTAGTGATTAGCGTCACCGAAAATGGATAACAATGACAGGTCCGACCAAAGCACATAAAAAGGTCAAAAAGTAAACTAGCATAGAGCGTTAGCCTTGTAGGTATATTGATACATGTAAGCTGGACTTACAAAATTTTTTTTGTTGTTATAACTGACTAAAAACCCATTGTCATCGAGTTGATTCTGACTCTTAGTGACCCTACAGGACAGAGTAGAGCTGCCTCATAGGGCTTCCAAGGAGCGCCTGGTGGATTTGAACCACCGACCTTTTGGTTAGCAGTCGAAGGCTGTAACTACTTTGCCACCGGGGCTTCATAACTAACTACAGGGATACTTTTATAAAAATAATAAATGTTTGCTGAACCACTGCAGAAAAATTTTATAGACAGTCATTTTGGTGTCACCCCCTCTGACAGTGTCACCCAGTGCAGTCCACACCCCCCAACCCGCACCTCCCTGGTGGAGCTGCTGCACCAAGACACAGAGGCGAAGAAGACTGCATTGCGTCTGGCTGGCTTACATGGGGCCCTTTTCTGCTGGATGAGTGGGTTTGCCTAGCCCCTTCATCTCCCCAGTTCCCTCCATTCTGTCCCCACTCACCCATCTGACAGCACCAAGCGATCTAATCTGACAAATGGGCCAAGGTTTAGTGTTCCAGGGTCAGGCCGCCTCTCAGGGTTCTGTTTATACACCCAACAGGCCCCTCTGCCTGCATAAGTTATCACCACAAAACACTCCCTCCTCCCTGAGGTCATGCCCAGGTTCCACTGATGGGGTTTTGGGTGTTCCCCCGCATTGTTCCTAGATAAATTTGTGTCTGTTTGTTTTTTCAGGTCCTATAGACATTTGATCCCAACCCTTAAACTAAAAAAAAAAAAAACAGAAACGAAACAACAACCAAACCCGCTTCCGTGGAGTTGATTCTGACTCATAGCAACACTACAGGACAGAGTAGAACTGCCCTATAGAGTTTCTAAGGAGCGCCTGGTGGATTCAAACCACCGACCTTTTGGTTAGCAGCCTGAGCTCTTAACCACTAGGCCACCAGGGTTTTGCAAATTCCATTCTCAAAGAGCAAAGAGAGATTGCCAGAAAGGGCTGGTGTGAACCAAGGTGGGTTCATGTAAGTGCTTCATTAAACAGTGGTGCTGCTCACTGAGGAGTCCCTGGTGGCACAGACGGTTA